CATGGCAAGTACCCTGGCAGGTAGCTGGTATGATACATGTGCCGATTTTTCTGTTGGTAGGATGAAATTTCCGTTTTAACTTGACTTTCAAGTTCTGATGCATCAGAAGACTTGAAATTTTTTTTAATACATTTTTTCCTCTTTTTCCCTTGTTAAGATTTTCATTGTTGTAAGAAAATGGTGTAATCATCAGTGCAAATAGCTTCACGTTCATTGATGCTAGTGAAGGTAATTAGCAGTAGGCTTTTTCTACCAGTGTGCTCCTGAGAAGAGAGTTGTTGGAAGTTCAGCAAAATAAATTATTCTTCATGGCTGTGCTAAGGAATGTATCCTACACCTGTATTATTACCTGTTTTCAATGATGTGTTTATCAGTTCCTTAATAATTATTTGTGTCTCTGGCTGGGCTGCAAAGAGATAACTGTGTTTTCTTGCTTCTCATCTGCAATGTGTATAGAATATTCAGTCTTTAAAATCTTCCACTCAAATACAATATTTCATTAGCTTTGAAGGAGACAGGACTATTCTTAAATCTTGAAAAGACCTGTGGAAATAGCAAATAAAAACGTGGAGATGGGAAATCTGAAAAATAAAGTTAGGAAGGGAAAGGGAGAGAAAACTTAAGGGCAGGATAGCAAGTGGGACTCACCCTGCTATTCAGTTAGCAACAGGAATTAGAAGAGAGAGATTCTATCAGCTTCCATCCTCCTTCCAGCTGAAGTATTAGTAGTAAAACGAAAGCAGAAGTGAACGGCGCTGGCTGGGGGCACGTGTGCGTGTGTGTGCGCTTTATGTGCGTGCTGTGATCTGTGGTGCTGTCCTACAGCCCGGTGTGGGGACTGGCCCCAGGCCCAAAACCTCCAGGGGGTGTTTGTCCCAAGGTTTTGCCCAGTGCCTGTTACAGGGAGACCTGATTTACGTAGGAAGAAAATGAAGCATTCTCTAAAATCTAAAATTTGTGTAGGTGTGAGTATCGTCGTGGCCGGGGGAGGGCAGGAGCAAAATTGTTTTTTGATACTTACATACAAGAAGGGGCTCAGAGTTCTACAATGTGAAGTTTCCGTATGAAGTTACTGAAATCTGCATGTTTCCATGCAGATTTTTTGTGTGAGTAATTGTGAAACTGAAGGCTGAGATGCATTTAACTGCATGAGATAGTGCGCACCTCTAAGCAGCTAGCTTTTATTTGTGAAAAATGTGTAAAATATTTCATTTATTTATTTTGTGCCTATGAAATTGTTCTTAGACTTTGGAAAATATTTTTACTGATGAGGTTTCTAGGTTTCATTTGAATTTGAAAATTCAGCTTTAATTTATGAGAATTCAGTTTTGACTAAATCCTCGAGGCCATGCTGAGACAAAGGATATTACGTTGAGTCTGTATTCTTATTTGTTAATAATTAACAGTGGTTGAAACTGAAAGAATGGATTGAACTGTTTCACAACTAGATTTTCATATCTAACCTGTGTTAGTTGATGCTACAAGACCATTTTACATAGGACGTGTCTGGGCACTTCTTGTTACAGACATGGTTATGATGGGTGGGAATGAATTTGCTAAGCTTTCAGGTACATTACATGCTTCTGAGGACTGTCCATTAATAATATCAATATATAGGTATTTTCCACTGTTATATGTAAGGCATTACTTAGAACTTTAAAGCTAAAGTCTTTTTTTTTTTTTTTAACGCACAGACCTTTTCAATTTTAATCCATTAGCAACTTGGCAAAATAAAGTAATTGTCCAACAGAGGAAGAAAAAAAAAATCCATTAACATTTGCTACAAATCCGAGCAGTACAGGCAGCACTTAATTAATGGAACAGATTTCTCACTATGTATTCAAGCTAACATAGCTATTGTTCAGGAGAGATTAGACCCTTAATGTAAGTAAGTTAAACTAGACCTCCATCTAAAAATATCCGTCATTTCGGCTATTAAAGGTCTGATGTCTTCTTCGGTGACAGATATATTTTCCTTCATTTCCTTGGTTTTGTAAAATGTAGAGTATGCATTGTGTGTAACGCGAGAAATCCGCGGAGGTAGATGAAACCCCGATTGTGCCTCCCTGCCTGTGCCTTTGTGCTGCTCCCTATCGCGGAGCCTCCTCGGCCCTTAGACCTCCTGGCACCAGCGCAGAAAAACAGAAAATGCCATTTGTTAGGGTATGATGCCAGCCACCTAATCTGTTTGCAGAATGAGGGCCGTGGGATCTGATTAGGTAATTTAGATACCTCGTGGGTTTAATAATACCTGAGCTGCCTTTGGCTGTCAGCCCGTCACTTCACTGGGAGGAACCACCACGGTCTTCCATTTCTTCTGTAAACTTCTTACCTGTAGTTCTTGGAGTCCAAATAGGTGTTAAGGGCTGCAGGTGAGGTTGTTTTTTTTTTTTACTTCTCCATATGGGGAAGTTAGCGATAGAGTGAGGGAGGTGGGATTGCTTGGTTTTAAATACACTTTACCCAGTGCAGTTCCACCTGCAGAATGTCTTTTTTTTTCTTGAAAAATGCAATTTTTCAGACATGAGCTTGTTTAAGCACCTAAGATGCCCTATCACATTTCAGATGTGTTGGGCTATCCCAAGACCTCACTGGTGTCCCCGGCAGGTTTGGAAACTCAGTTTATCCAAGGTGCTTATTTCACCCTCACGACTGGGAGATTCCCGGTGTTGCTGCGGGGGCAGAGGCTGCGGCCGGGGGGTCTGCGGGAGCAGCCTTGGTGCCTCGCTTCGGATACCTGCAAGGAAAATTTTGGCTCCAATTTTAATGCCACATCTCCTCCCTTCCTCTCTCCTTTCCGCCAATTAGCATTTTTTGGAAATTAGAGTCTTGCGAAGCCTGCTAACATAAACACAAGTGTTTTAGGATTTGTTTGCTCTAATTAATTTAAAGTGTGTCTTTCTGAGGGGATTTAGTTAAACATTTTTCTTAAACAGTAATGTGCCAGTAACAGCAACATTAGTAATAGTGATAAGACCCAGAAAGGGAAACCAACTAGAAAGCAGAACGAAATGTTTCTTTTTTCACAAAATAAATGGTCTTACCGGGAAAGCAAAGGAAACCGTGTTCAGAGACACTTACAGTTAGGTTGGTCAAAACAGTAGAAAACTTACAATGTGAAATAAATCCTGCAAAGGTAGAGAGCAGGACTGCACGAGATCACTCCTTTTGCTTTTTTTAATGCTTTCCTCTTTTTTGACCGTTGTGGGTTTTTTGGGTTTTTTTTTACCCCTAGCAGCACCCAAGATATTCTCAGAGCTTTCCAAATAGGAAATAAGTTAGTTTTCTTGTAATTATTTTCTGTAAGGAAGATGGAGTAATTGTAAGGCTAATGATATTAATGGGATTTATATGAAAGCATCAAACATAACTATACAGTGTAATAAAACCATATAATAAATATGTGGACAGGATACACCGTAGTATCTAGTTTGATTAATTGAAGCTTGCATGAGCAAAGATAGTCAGGATCAGACTTCTCACTCATCAAGGAAAACCAGTCTTTGTTATTTTCTCAGTGAAATAATCTTTTTTTTTTTTTTTGTATTCTGCCATCTGAAAAGAAAAAACTGCTGCCTTGAGTGTGAAACGCGAGCTCTCGCAGAACTCTGCCAGGTTGTTTCTGCTTGGTGTTGAACTAGGGCAGCCTTAGTGTACAGTGCAGTTATGTCCTTGCAACAGATAACGTGTTGCTTTTCTCTTCTCTTGTACTCTTGCATCTTTTGAAATAAGCAAGACCCCGGTATCTCCAAAAGCCTCCCCGTGGCTGTGCCGCAGGGCAGTGGGGCTGTTGTACAGCCCCTGCTTATGAAATGGCAAACGGGTGGTTTCCTGGTTTTGCTCCAAGGCTTCCTCGTTGCCCTCCTTGCGCTGGCCATGCGGTGGGGATGCCGCCTGGAACAATTTGCTCCCTGACACAGCAAGATGAGAAGGTGGGCTCTGGTGCCGTGTGCCCCCGCCATCAGCTGTGCGTGCCTCGAGACGTGTCTGCGCCGGAGCAAATCACCTGTGCTTGTAGACCTCCTGTCTCCAGTAAATCATAAGCATCTCAATCTTTTTGTCAGGCTGTGATATGAGAATCCATCTGAATTTCAGTATGAGGGGAAAGAAGCCGATTAAGTGTTTGAGATAAGGTTATGTGACACCACAGGTTAAAAATACCTGAACTGAATTTGGCCAAATGCCTGAGAACTACATTGTGGCGCGTTCGGGTGGTGCTGAATAAGCTTCCAAGGAGTTTCACGTCTTCTACTTTAAAGCAGTTCTTCAGGAGAGGTCTTTCAGGAGCTGCATCTCTCTTGCTTTACAATCGTTTTGTGGACTTTGCTATTTCATGTTTCTTATCTAAAATGTCACCGATGTGTCAAGCTAAAAGAAAAAATAAAAGTGTAATAAAGCCTAGCTATTTAGGAAGTAAAGGACAAATATTTTTGTTTGGCACAAGCGCTTGGAGAAAGATTTAGGCTAGATCCTCAGAATCCTACACAGTTTTGTTCTAGTTCCTCTGAACTGTGACTGTAGAAACCCTTAGCAAATACTGTGTTTTAACAAAAAACCCAAACGTAGAACTGTGTAATTTGTTAAAACCTAAAGGTGTACTTCAGACAGATCTGGGAAATAGGATGAAAGACATTCAAGAACCTTCTGACTCTTAGGACACTATATAGTTCTAGTATTTTACCAGTTGTTTTCCATTCATGACTTTTATTTCTATAAACATTCATAGAGTCGAGAAAAGACTTTGGGAGATGTGTGTAAATACCAGGGAAGGTCTGCTAAGTAAAAAGCCTAGACCAGGCTAGTTTAAATTTTTACCTGAACTTAATACTTTAAAAGCTTTTAAATGATACGTCCAGGATACTGCACTGGATTTGTGATACCACTTTTGTGAACTGCTCTTGAAGGCTTCTCTTATTTTTTCATGCGAGATACCATATTCCAGAAGTGTGATGCAAAAATGTAACTTTTCTAATGCCATCTGATTTATTTTTTTTTTACAGATGGGCTGAAGCCAGATACCAAGATGCTTCTTGCTGTTGCCTCCAAGAAGAAATCTAAGGCAGGCAAGGGGGATACAACCAAAGAGGATGAAAGCAGCAAGAATGATTCAGCCCAACCTGTTACTATCTCTCTTCTCTTTAAAAGATATGTCTTTGATACACAGAAGAAAATGATTCAATCCTGAGGAAGCAGAAGAGGCCTCTGATAGCACCCAAAAGACCAGACTCTGAAATGAGTTCAGGTGGAATGTGTTTCTTGTCTGAATGCATCATACCTGTTCTTTCCTCACAAACAGAGCCTGGAAGCTCCTGCCGACTATGTGCCCACTTGCAAAATCTCTGTAATCTGGTTTTGTTCTATTAGAATCTGCTTCATTTGTCATCTTTGCGATGTGAATGTTTATGGCCTCTCAGAGAATGTCACCTGCTGGATCAGCACGCTCTGGTGTATGCTCCGATCGCAGTATTTTTCTGGAGAATTGTTTTGAATTTTCTCTTGATTTAAAAGTTTACTGCCAATATTAATCTAAATCTAGTTGAGGTGTGAATTTCATTCAACCCACAAAGTGAAGCTGATTGGGTTTACTTCCCTGAGGAAAGTGGGGGACAGAAATACAACACATAATACAATAGATGAAACCTAAAATGAATGTTTCACATTCCTTCAGCTGCAACTGTGTAAGATGCTGTCTGAGAGATGGTATGGATCTTTTTTTATGAATGTGATTTATATCTAGAAATGTTTTTCATATTAAACATAACAAGGTGTGTTACTGAGAGTCTTAATTGGTCTGTTTGTTGTTCCAAAGGTTCTGAACCTCTCTTCAGTGACGTTTTATATAGCTTTTCTGAATTTCCTGCCTGTTCTGTGGCAAATCCTATTCCAGAATTGTTTTCTTTCTTTGTAACCAAAATGTCTTTTGTGTATGAAAGAAAAAGTTGCCTCTGGAAACAGTCAAGGGTTTTGTTTCATTAAAATAATGATAGCAGATTGCAGCATAAGCCTTGTAAAATGAGTATCTCCAAGATGCTTTAGAAACTATTAGTTCTTTAATAGGGATTTCATGGCTGCTTTAGTTCCTCCTCTCAATTTCGTGTCCTAGGCTCATAAAAAAGAGAGCGCTGGTAATGTCCCTTTTTTGTTATTTGCAAAGCATAGGATACCTTAACATGAAAACTAACAATACTTCCACAGGTACGAAAGCTGCAGTCTGGAGCAGAAATTCAGCTTGGGCTTGGCAGCATCAAAAACGTTAGTTCCTGTCTTTTGAACAAAGTGTGCGTCTGCTTGTTGATGTTAAATAACAGCCTGTGACCCATTCGCTGAAGCCAGATGTAGAAGATGACTGCATGTGTAATGTAAGTGCGTTAGTTGCACATGGAAGTAAATAACTGTAATAGACCACCACACTCATTCTTATTAATCACTTAAAGAGATTAAACACTTGAAGTGTTATTAATCAAATATCTGTTGATGGGCATGAGTTCATCATGCTAACATGATCCTGGGGTTTTTTTGAGTCTTTTCTTTTTAATTTCCAGGTACCAAAGTGGATACAAATGGCAAAAATATCAGCTCTTGAGAGGATATTTACAGCTGGACAGTTGTGAGAGAGGACATGTCTGGTATCTAAACTAGGTTGATGGTGCCCCTTTAAATCGGAACAGAATTAGTGCTTTGTGGAATAATCCCAAACAGTTTCTGCTGAGTGAGTCCCAGCAAAGCTTTAGCACATCCCTTAAGATTATGGGGTATGCTTTCAGTGTGATCCCAGAGGAATTAGGCAGGCAACTTCAGCTATGGCTTAATGTGACTTGTGCTGCCAGCCTTGCTGGAAAATGTATCCTTCTATAATGAAAAAAAATGCATTTCACACTCCTGTCACCTCTCCTTCCCTATTTCTCTCCCTTCCCAGACACCTCCAAAGATAGTATTTAGAAAGAATATTTATTATGTTATCTTTTCTTTCAAGCCTTTATCAAATCCTGTTTTGTACTCAGCGCTGTTGCCTCCGCTTAAGATTCTGCAGTGATGGAAGCTAGAGAAACATGACATAGAAAGAATACAGTTATAACCATCTCAGGTTAGTCTAAAACTATTGGAATAAAAAAAACTTATAAAAATAATAATTAGAAGTGAATTATTAAGGAATTTACATTTTTATCTGTATAGTTCTAATATCCTTGTCAAATTTTAAATGGATCACTAAATTCTGCCAACTCTGCTTGGAGATTTGGAAAGAGAAAAGGCAGTCATTAGGAGAGGTGGCCTGCTGTAGGATATTGTTGGTTTGTGGAGAGTTGTTAGCTTTGTACTTACCAGTTTTTGTCTTTCTTATTTCTAAGGCATTTTTTAATAGTTCTGCAGGAGGAGACTGTCAGTGTACATGGTGGTATGTATTTTTATAAACCACTATCTGGTTAATGTTTTCCCCTCTTCACTGTGTATTGTCTGTAGCAGGATCAATGAGTCACTTGTTATGGAACTTAACCTGTTTGAAAACTCATTATTCCTGAATACTTAGTTTTGCAGTCCTGTGGTTGGGTGAAGGGTCTTCTAGTGCTAAGGGTTCCATGGTTTATTTGCTTTGGGTATTCCAAGGGAGGGAGCAGCACCAGCTTCCAGAGTTGGACCGCAGTCCCTGTCTCTTTCAGGCTCCTGTAATTCCCCTCTTAAATTCTTTCTCCCCGTCTCCCATGTTGTTTCCAGACTAGTGCGCTAGCTCAGCATCCTTCTTCCGTCCTCTCGGTCCAAGACCTCCTCCTCTGCAGTGCTCCTATTTGCCATCTTTGCTCTTTGCTTCTACTTGTTCTGACTCTGCTCTCACCTCAGGAGAAGATGTGAATCCAGGCGCTGGCAGGTGCTCCCACAGCTGGTGTTGAGAGCCAGCGTGGTTGGAAAGGCTTTTGCCCCGCAGCTTACGCCAGCTCCTGTCTGCAGTGAGTAGCTGCCCGCGTTCAGGCACTTGGGCTGTGACTTGGGCAGGCTCATGAGCAGCAAGTACTGACCCAGCTGGAGCCGTGGTGTGGAGACACACGTGCTGTGCCTCCTGTGAATCCTTCACCCACCACCATATCCTGTCCTTCTACTTTGTAATGCTCCCTGAAAAGCCCCTAGCCAAAGCTCTGTCCTTTCCTTTTGCTGCCCTAGCAGAGGGTAGATCGGACAGAGAGCTGGAGAGGTAGATACCTAGAGTTGGAGACCAGTGTTTGCCTTTGTGTTTTTCCCCATTTTTAATTCCAAAGGGAGAACTGAAGTGTGTGCCCAAGAACTTTGATTATAATGTGCTATTACTGCAGATCTCTGGCTGCTGTCCTGAGGCTGTTGGATACACATTCGAAAAAGGGTGAAATGGTGGAACAAAATGATTATGGGAAAATCAAAGCTTTTAAAGACATTTGTAGGATGAACAGATGTTCAAACATTCTTTTATTTGGTTTCCAGACAAACGTAGAGACTTCCCTTTCATCCTTGTAATCAGTGCATTATGCTGTGATTTGTAAAAATGGCATTAAAAAAATATTAACAGGGTCATATTATGATATACTGACTCGGTGTCATTAAGCTGTGAAGTTAAGAATGGCAACTGGGAACAGGGGTTAAATGTTGCAGAATGTACTGTACTAGCATATATTGTCAGTCTGTTTTATAAAGAATCCAAAATGGAATAAAAGACGTAAGGAGTTTTTTTAACACTACTAAGGTTGTCAGTGTTGCAAAACTAGAAATTATTATGGCCATGCAGATGTTTAGTGAGTAATACATCTCTGGGTTGTGGGGAGAGTAGCAGGGAGAAAAGCTTTGTTTTCACAAGCCTGTTTTCTACTTTTCCTTGGAATTTATTTTGGGACTGCAGTCTGGTTTGTGATCTTGCCAGAGGTCTTGAGCTGTGAGGGTTGAAGCCTGCAATTGCGGTAGCGAGGGTTCAGTAGGTGGCATCCTTTGCTTGGAATCAAAACTAAATCTCCCCACCTAAAAATGGGGTATGTGCTGGCATTGACAATGAAGATTTTGAATCAGGCTTGCAACCCATCTCTCCAAGAACAGTTTCTATTAAAAACTACAGTGCATTCAATGACTGGGGCAGAGCCATTTACTCCAGTGTGTTGACCAAACCCTGAAGTACGAGTGTCCTTTCTGAGTGTGTTTCTGGCCCAGCTGAAAGTGACTCTTTTCCTGAAATCCTACCAATTGAGTTAATTGGTTGCAAGCATCTAACTATGGCAAAACGAGCCGTCTGCACTGGCCGAGTTCTTGGCGTGTACGAAACATCTCTTTCTGGGCAGTGGGCGCTTTTCCTTGCTTGTGAACTCTGCAGCTGAACAGCCACAGGGTGGCAGAGCAAAAGTGAGAGCCCGGCTCAGCGAGGAGTTGTAATGATGCAGTCCTAAAGCTCCCCGGGACTGTCTGCATCTCACTGCCGGGAGAGCAGCTCTGTATTTACATCTGAAAAGATCTGCTCTGGGATCTTGTGAAATGAAGGATGAAAGGCAGCAGAGGAATGCTACCTGATTAGTGTTTTTAAAATCTCTTTATGTTTTCCTTTTAGTTTAATACCCAAAGTGAGCTGGAAAGCTCTTTATATGCAAACACGTGAGTTTTACCCAAACTTACTGAAGATGTAAATAGAATAATTGTAAGATAGAGCGTAGGACAGGGAGCTAACCTGCCAGGCCTGGGAGAAGGAACTGTGGGACCGCAGTCTGTGGTGAGGCCGCTCTTGCTAGGTGATGGGCCTCCAGAAGGAATTCAGGGGTTTGATGAGGATGTTTTTAAGCAAGATATTGGAGAAAGGGGAGTAGTCTTCTGGGATCCTCCACAAGTGCTCCTGCTCTTCTGTGCAAAAATAGGTTAAAAATGTCACTTGATATGGTTGTAGCTCCACCGTAGACAATATGTAGGAAGAGAGAGACTGCAGTGGGTGTGCTTATTTCCTGTTGCCAATACCAGAATATGGAGTTTTTCCCACATTTGCTGGCGTGTGTGCGATGCTGGTTTTAATTACAGTTATTAGTGGGCTTAGTTTAGGGTAGAAGGGGTTTTCCACTCCTCAGTAAGTATTGCAGTTCTTTGTTTTAATTTCTGTGTCTGAATGCTTTTCCAAGATAGTATCCTCAATCTGTAAGACTCATCTTCTTTCCCTTTCCTCAAGGTGACTTACTTGTCAAAGGTGAATGCTGCAGT